TTTTTTTTTTTTTTTAAAAAAAAAAAAAATTTAAAATTTTTAAAATTCCTATTTTCTTCAAATAATATATATATATATATATATTATTCTATTATATTATTCATTACATTATTATATAATATATATATTTATATAAATATATATATATATACATTAAATATAAAAAGAATCTTTTTTTCCCCCCACTTCAACTTCTCTTCCCTCCCCCTTCTCCTTCAATTTATATATATACATTATATAAGTTTTTTTTGGATAGAATCCAGAAAAAATATTTTTCTTTTTTCTAAATATAAGTTTTTTTTTTATTGTGTTAAAATAAAAAAAAAAGATTTTTCTTTTTTTTTTTTTTTAATAGAATTTCCGTTTTACATTCATCTATTAGAGTGTACATAATTTTAATCATAAAAGGATTATAGAATTTTTTTTTATATATATTCTCGAAAACTAAAAAAAAAATCAAAAATGTTTCGAGGAAAACCAATGTCAACAACACAACCAAATTATACAGCTAATCCAAATTTACAATATTTACAAAAGAATAATGGATTAAGAAGAACAATAAGCAATGGTAGTAATTCATTAAAGAGAGGGAATGGTGGTAGTATGAGGGCCATGAGAAGGAAAATGAGCACTAAAAAGAAACAAAAAAGAGATATTGAACAGATGGTAACTTTAGGTGAAGCTTACTTAATCATTCACTTATGCGCTGGTGAAGTCGTAGTAAGAGGTATGTTTTTTTGGTTTTTTTTTTCGGACCGTGGCATAGATATCACGTGTGATTGTAGAAATTTATGGGATGATCAGGGGTTGTTGTTTAATATGTTGTGTAATATTAATTGTAATACTTTACATTTAATTACCATAATAGGTTTGACGGAACCTGAAATATTTAAGCCTGTAAGAATTCGTGATGGCGCAAATGAGGTCCGGTACCTTATCAATTGTTTATTAAGAGATAATCGAGCGGAATTTGAAGATGAATTAAAATTTCAAGATATACATAATATCGTAGCTGGTATACGATGGGCATTAAGAAATTGTACCACTATAATTATTCCTTATGATTATTATGAACAATTTGTTAGATATGAACAAGGTAAATTAAATAATTAATTATAAATAATTTTTTTTTCTCGAAGAAAAACTTTACTAAAAAAAAAAAAAAAAAAATTTTTTTTATAGAATGGCAATATGATCCAAGAAAAGGTTCTTTTAATTTATTCCTTTCAAAACTTGACAGACAAAATAAAGGAATATTAATAGAATTATTCGATTTATTCGCCATGACTATGGAACAATCTCATATTAATCAAATGCATCCAACTCGTATTTTAAAATCAATGGCTCTTCAAGTTTTTAATGAATCACAAACGAAAACTCATGAAAATTTTCAATCTGCTTATCAAGAATGGTTAAAATTTTCGAACGCTTTAATTCATTTATTTTTAGCTTATTTAAGAGAAAGAGCTTGTTCAACTCAATTACCTGAAAGATTACATTTATTATTAAGGGATTATGTTGATTGTAGAAAAAAATGTTTAATGAATAGTAGTGTTAGTGGTAATGGTAAGGATATTATTATAAGTGAACATATTTTACCTGATATAACTATCGCTGATTTAGATGAAGTCATTAGATCAAGAATTAATTATAATAATAATAATAGTAATAATAATAATAATTCAAATGATTCTAATTCAAATAGTAGAAAATCAAGTCTTCTTAGAAAATCCACCAAAACTCTTAACAATAGAAATTCTTTATCAGATATGTTTCCTGAATTATTTGAAACTTTACAAACATTAAAACGTAAAGCAAGTTTTAAATCTTCTCCAAATATAGTTCTTTTAGATGATCCTAGAACTGTTGAAGCTAAATGGGATGAATTACAAAATAAAGGTTTTGGTATCATGTCTGAAGAAGCATTAAAATTATTCTTTGCTTATGATGATAGAGATGTAAATCCTAATCCTATTAGTGTTGGAAGAAAGAAGAGCGGAAAGAAAAAAAATGGTAGTTTACAAAAAAATGAAAAATTAACTACTTTACTACCTTTACCAAAAATGGAATTTGTTGATGATTCATTAATTGGTGGTTCACTCAATTTAACACCTGATAATTTTATGAATGATTCTACTAGTAGTAGTAGTGAATATCCTGATGATAAAAGTAGTTATGATGATCAAACAAGATTAGGAAATAAAGGACTTCGTGAATCAGTTGATAGTAGTTCAAATGTATTTAGTCTTTCATCAACTCTTAATCCTTCATCTGATGGTGATAATGTTGGTAATGGTTTTATTGGAAGTGGTAATAATAATTATTATAATTTTAATAATGATTCAACAAATTATAACGAATCAACAAATTATAATGATTCAACAACTTTAGGTAACACTTTACGTGAAGAATCTCAAGAGGTTAGAGGTCGAAGTAATAATTCATCAAAGAAAACTAAAACTATTTCTTTCTTATGTATAAAACGTCGTCCACATTCTTATGATTCAGAAAATGGTGCTTATATGCATGGTCATGCTTATGAAGATTGGGAAGATTGGCATATAATAGAACAAACAGTTGATTTATCAGATTATTTAACGGTTGAAACCATTGACGCATTATTTCCTTATGTTTGGATAGAAGCAAATATTGGTGGTGAAGATGAACAATGGGGTGAATGGATTTTTATTGAACCTCGTCGTGGTTTAATACATGAATGTGAATGGATTATGATTGAAGAAAGAAGTCAATATATGTTAGATTGGGAACAAAATTTAAATAATATAAATAATATTTCTTCAACTAATCATAATTCTTCTCGCATTAGTAAAATTAGTGCTTTAAGTAATTTAAGTATTAATTTACCTTGGGTTAAAAATTCTAAGAAAGGTAGTTCAAGTAAATCTTCCGCTTCAAGTATATTGGCTCCTCCTTCTCAAAGATCTGTTCATTCAAATAATAGTTATACAAGGCAACCATTTAATCATTCAAATCGTTCAAATACTAGTGGTTTAAGTAAACAACAACAACAAGCACCTTATATACAACGTGCTGCAACTCCTACTGAACAAATTGAAAAATTACTTGATCAACCAGCTGATAGAGGTCAAGAATTTCGTGATAGATATCTTCAACAACAACAAGAGGAGGAAGAAACTAAACTTTATCAAATACAAAGATATCAACAAGATCAACAAAAACTTGTCATGGAACAAAAAGAACGTGAGAGGAAAGAACGTGAATTACAAAGACAAGCTGAAGAAGTAGATAAAGAATCTGAGCCTGATCAATATTATCAAAATGATGATGTATATGATCAATATCATGATGATGAACGATTATCTGATGCTCAACAAGATTATAATGAAGAAGTTGATCGATCGAACCGTCAACAAGAAAATTTCCCTCAAGTTCAAAAAGAGAATTCTCAACAATTCAGATCTCCATTACAAAAACAAAATTCTCAACAACAACTTCGTCCACAGAATTCTCAACAACTTCGACCACGTCAAGCGGAGAATGATTATTATGAGAATCAAAATTATGAAAATGAACAACGTCAAGACAATTATTATGATCGTGAAGATGAATATTATAATCAACCTCAATATCCACGTCAATCACCAATGCAGCAAAGTAGATCTCCAAATCTTGGAAGACAGAGTCCATACAATGGTTCACGTGGCAGAGAAGTACCATTTTCCGTAAATCCACAAATGGGTCGACAGCCAAATGGTGTTCGTGGTGGACCTTCACCTCGTCAAAGTCCAATCATGACAAATGGACAATTACCAGGTCGTCAAACGCCAAGACCACAATTTTCTGATGGAAGACAAGTTCCAATGGGAGTTCATAGCCCTCGTCAAAGTCCAATTGTAAATAACGCTCAATTACCAGGAAGACCACTAAGTCCTGTTAGAATGAATGCAAAATTACCAAATGGAAGGCCACAAAGTCCTATACCAATGAACGCTCAAATTCCTGGTCGTCAAACTCCATTGTCACCACGTCAAAATCCTATGGGAGTTCGTACCCCACCAGTACAAAATTCACAATTGCCTTCACAACAACCTAAATATCCTCAACAATATCAGCAACAACAAATGGGTTATCCACAGAAATATCCACCACAACAATATTCACAACCTCCTCCACAGCAATATCCCCCTCAAAATCAATATTCACAATCACCACCTCAACCATATTCTCCTCAACAATATCCTCAACAGCTACCTCAACAGTATTCTCAACAATCTCCTCGACAGTATCCCCAACAGTTACCTCAACAGTATCCTCAACAGTATCCTCAACAATATCCTCAACAATATCCACAACAGTATCCACAACAATCTTATAATAATAATGGTATGGAAGTTGCAGTTAATAGACAAATGCCACCGCCACAACAGGCTCCAATGAATAACATCAATGGAGGACCAGTGTATACTCAAACAACTACAAATAAAATAGAGACATCGAGAAAAATACAAGTTCCAAATGCAAATAATACGACTACTGAAATTGAAGAAACTGTTGTCAAATATGAGAATGTTACTGTTAGTACTAAATCTGCTGTAAGAATGCAGCAACATGAGAGGGATAATAATACTGTTGGTACTCGTAGTCCTACCGAGTCTGAAATTATTGAAGGTTATTCTGTTCCATATTCTCAACCAGAACAAAATCAAGTTTCATCATATAATCCTCCCGGTACTTATGGACCATTCCCACCTTCATATAATCCAACTCCTCCTTCTCCTAATCCTGGTTATGTAGCCGCTACAAGAGGAAGTTTCGAACAACCTCGTTCAATTGAGTATATTAATGATCAACAACCATTACCCAATTTATATTATAATAATATATCTCCCGAATTCTTTAATCAACAGCAACCATTACCTAATTTATATAATAATTTGCCTTCTCAAATTCCCATGTCAATACCCTTGGACGTTCCTGCTCAACAATTATATTTAAAATATCCTAATACAAATAATTCTAGTAGTTCAACTCCTATTCATCAACAACCTTATTTCCCTCCCGGTTATGTACCTTCTGATGAAACCGATAAAAAAGGAAAAGGGATAGCCAAAATTTCAAAGAAATTTAGAATTGGAAATTAAAAAATAATTGATTTTTTTTAAAAAAAGTTATTATTATATAAAAATATTCGGGAGAGTTGTGATTAAACTCAAAATTCTTAAGATTAATTTTATCAACAACCTTTTACTTAAGCTTTTACATCGTCATTACCAAACACACCAACATCCATCAATTTTCTTATGGTTTTTTTTCGTCACATCATAAAAACTTTTATTTAAAATTTATTTGTAAAGAAAAAAATCTTATTTTAAAATCTAGATGATTTTAAAATATTTTAATTTTGTTGTATTATTTAAAAAATGTATTTTAATTTACTTCTTATTTGGTTGGGGTTTATATTTCTTATATTTCATTCAGATTTTATTTATTATAACTTCATTGTATTATTATTTTTTCAATTATATTTATATTTATTTTTGTATTTTATTTAAAGAAAATTCTTTCATTATTCTAATAAACAACAAAAAAATTAAATAAAAAAATGTTTATATTATAAAAATTTTATCATCTTATATTACGAGATTTTTGTTCAATCCTTCGATGATATACGAACAGACCTTCAGAATCACATCGATTTCTGTGTGTCTACAATCCAAAATATCATTCTTATCTTTGCATTTATAAATACTGAACACAGAGTTAATCATGAAAAGTAAGAATAAAAGGTAGAAAAAATATGTGGTATAACAAAATACTCATAAATCACAATATATTTTGCTAAGTTTGTACAAGTAGCTGTTCTCCTTAGAATTTAAATGTGTCTTAATACAAAACTTGTACGCCTCATTTGCTTTTTCCTTCAAATACTATCTGTACAAGAATAATGAGTCAATATGTATGTACATACAGAACAAGTTAATTCGACATACATTCTCTACCGTAGCTACAAATGAACTTTCATCATCTGTCATGCGAGGAACTTGTATAGCACTGTGATTTTAATTATGGATTTCTTGTCATCAGCAGAGAACCAATTTGATAAATCAATTGTTCGTGATGATCCGTGGTTTTTTCAATTGCTGATATTTTCTTTTTCTTTTGAATTGGCTTTGCATTCGCGGATACGTTTCTTGCAATAATGTCACCAACATTTTCCTCAGATGGCAAGATCACATTTTTTTTATTACTATTGTAAGTACAGAATCGATAGTTTCCTCAGGAGCTGGGACCCCTTCTTCATCTCGTTCGTTATCCTCAACATCATGCTGTTCGGAGGAATTATCATGGACCATCATCATCAGGTCAAGAGGATCTCCCTTTCCCTTCCTTCCCTTTTTCCTTCCCCTCCCTTCCCCTTTCCCTTTCTTCCTCTTTCCCTTCCCTTCGTCCCTTTACTTTCCTTATCCTTCTTCCCTTTCTCCTTCCCTGTGTTTCTTAATTTTCAAATTAACTTAGTTACCTTCTGTAAAAGATGTATGTTTATGGTCAAAAATTTAAGTTATATACCGACCTTTTTTTTCCTGATATTTTCTTCTTTTTTTTGGTGGTGATTCTTGCGACTTTTCTTCATAAAAACGAGCTCGCTTACTTTCTCCCAAGATTACCAATACTTATTATTATTCCAAGTTGGAGAGAAGGATAATATGAATACAAGATATAATGAAACTTGAGTGTGTTACCAAATCGTAATTTATCTTTAAGATTGTTTGGCTGACATCGTCATGTAAATCAGACACTCGATTAAGAATCTTGTTGGTATTAAGATCTACAGCATGTTTAGAAAGACGAACTATTGTGTCTCTCCTTCTTACTCTTCTTTTTAATCACCCAGTTCTTTCCGGTAAAAGTATTCTTATGTTTGCCGCAAACCGCGTTCTCACCATGCAACCGGTAGCGTCCTGTCTCGGTCATATCTTGGACTTCGTAGTCTCAGTTTCCTTCTTACACTTCAAGCAGTAAAATCGTGTCATCTTGATTTGAAGTCTGAAATCCTACCTTTACCAAAGGCTGGTGGCTTTATCCGAATTCGCTTCCTTCTAAATGAATTAATAGGGAGAAAGAACCCTGATATTGTTAGACGTATCCAACATAACATATCGAAGTGCAGCCCGCCAGACGTATCCGTTGAGCTTTCAGACATATCCTAGTATTTTTAGCCTTCGTGAAGTTTCCGTTATTAAAATAATACAAACCTTAAAATAATTTAATGCCCGTTTTGCTAACTCTGTCGCGGTTTTCCAGTAGATTAGGATTATTATTAATTGCTTCTAAATGTGACCTATAAGCACGGTGCTCTTTATCCTTTACTTCCAAAATCTTTGGCGTATACCATACTCCATTGAAGAAAATCAACCAACTCCCACGCAACATTGCTTACAAAATAAGGCAGTCTTGTAATTTGGACATTTTCTCATGATTTTTTGGGCGCGCCGGCCGCGCCGTGTATGATATATATATAAGAACAATTGTTACATAATTATGTAACACTGAAATCCATCTACTAGATTGTGATTTTCACGGGTCCCAAATAATTACTTGCGCCTCTCTTCCTGTTTGGTTCTCCTTTTCTTTTAATTTCATTATACGTAGTCACAAGACGTTAGTAGCAGCTGTTTTGGCAAAATTTGACTTATTTTTTTTGTAAATATCAAAATTATCTTCAAGATAACTTAACAATAGTCCGATATTTGTATCATCCCTCCTGTTTCTTCTTCAACAGAACTGGCCATTATTCTTTTTAGAAATTTTTGTAGTGATTACAGTTGTTGAAGTATCAGTAGTAGGTGCCGTTACTTATTGACGGGTAAATGTTACTACAGCTATAACATCAGGTTCTGTACAGGCGTTTGTGGTTTAGGAGCAATTGGGCGAAGAGTAGATTTTGGAATGAGCATGGTAAAAGTTATAGCTATAACTTCAAAAGTTTAAGGCAAAAAACGTGTAGACGCAATTTATTATATAGATTGTGATTAGGATATTTTTGTAGATAAATCAATCGTGAACATATATAGCCATAATTGGTTGCTGATGGCATATTAATATTTCACATGAGTACTATTTAGTATATGAATATTTTTTGGTAGCATCATTTAATAGGATTGAAATATCGACATGTGATATATATATACTCTTATTTGAAAAAGCACACAGCAATACATTACAACAGATTACAGTCCTATATGTACTGTATTTAGTGTTGTTTATTTCGACAACTTTATACTAAAATATGGTCGCCTTTAGGGAATAGTATTTCAAACAAAAAAAAATTAAAACTTTCTCTAAATAAAGTTTTAAAATCCTATTCTAGATGCATCTTTAACTGCTATAAAAACTTACTTTAGGTTTGCAAGGAGATTTTAAACCTTAGTATATAAAACTAATTTTTTCGTCCTTGCCGATTTAGCGAAAAAAAGTTATCAAACAAGCCAAAAATGATAACTGGCGTCTCTTTTTACTGGAGGCGACACCAAGACAACTTGGAACTGAGAGTTTTCTATAGCTGTACACATATCTCTCGTTTTCAAATTATCCCATCAGTTTGCAGTTTGTCTTTCGCAGTCTATCTGTATAATTTTTATTCTTGCTGTAGTTAGCGTCTGTCTATACTCTATAGGGTAGCGAGAAACGTAGATTCTATAATGAACAAAATAATAATATAATTAGCAAGGAATTTGTAATTAATAATTACGTAAATTTTTTAATAATTTAATTTTAAAAACATTATTGGAAACGTTCATTTGCAGAGAATCCGCAAGGAAGCGTCGAAGCGACCTTATCATGTAAATAATTATTATCGACACAAAATTTTGACTACCGTTCAATAAAATTTATGATAATTTTAATAATTCGATTCTTATTACGTAATTTCCTTTATAGATCATACAGTATTTATTGCGAACGACTAATAACTCTTGTAATAAAACTCATCCTATTGATTTTATGAATTTTAATTTAAAGGAAAGAATGTTTATTCTATCAGATGAAAGGACAAACCTTTCTTTTTTGATCGAGTTTTAATAAAAAAAAAATTTATCGGAACAAATGTTGATATAAATAAATATATATATATTAAATTCGAAAGAAAAGAACTCATCGATTCGACTCTATAAAAAAAAATAGCGCGTATCGTATGTGTCTAATAAGAAAAATAAATAATGATAAACTCTTTCCCCTTGTTTGTTTTCCCTCCTTATTTTACAAAAAAAAAAATCATCTCTTCTATATACAAACGAAAGTTTTTACAAAAATAAATAAATAAATAATATAATAAATAATAAATAATAAATAAAACAAAAATTTAAATTCCCGAACGAAATAAAAATATTACATTATAATAAAATTTCCGCAAAATAAACCTCTTCTCTATTCTATTCTTCAAATTCAATCCAAATCCTTTACGTCACCTCTAATAAGCACTTCCACGTATAAATTGATATTTGACATGACGGGAATGGTTAGGAACATCAGAGCGTTTGTAATAATTTTTATATGCTTTTAATGATCTTTTCTTAGCGGTATTATTATTATCTTTTTTATCATCATCATCATCATCATCATCATCTAGGGTACATATACTCCTTACTTGTGGCGGTATCGGGTCGCCTTTTAATTCACTGAACCTTTCTATGAGTTGTCCTACCATTCCCATTTCAACGTGCCACTGTATTTGAGGAAAATACCTTTCAGCATGAATTTAAAGTTTTTTAAAAAAGTATATTTATAAATTTACCTCAATATGACAATGGAAAGCCCATACACCAGGATTATCAATATTATATCTAATTACAGCCCATCTAAATAATAGAAAATGAATTATGTGAATTATAAGTATTATACCTTTTCATTTTTTAAGATACTTACGATTTACCAGCAACCGTTATAGTATCACGTACAGCAGGGTCTACCAAATTAAATATTGATGGATCAGGTACTTTACCAGGACCATGAGCCATGATGTAGAAATTATGTCCGTGCTTATTTATACCAAGAAAAGAAAAGAAAAATTTAGTATAATATCATAATATTGGTGATGAGTGATTGATAATAGTAATGATATACGTTACCAAATGGAAAGGATGTGTCGCCATATTTTCGTCTAAAACATCAATTATTTTAGTAAATATTAAAAAAAAAGAAACAGTTTCGTGAAAAAAAAAATCAACTTACTGATTAAAGAAATTTCAACAGAACCGTTTTGAGTATCATAAACAAAAGCATTTTGATCCGGATCTAACATACTAGGTGTTTCATCCCCACCATACATAAGTTTATTTGCGGTTGGATCATTTACTTCCGGTTTGAAGGGCGAACCATTTACCAGAGCGTGACCAACACCATCAATATTATCAAATGTAATTCGAAGGGTGAAATTATCTGTTGGAGTAACTGGTGGAGATCTGGGTGGATTTAATTTTAATAGATTGTGATCTACATCTCTACAATTAAGAATTTTTTCATCCCATTCTTGTGTAGTTGGGTAGGTTTCAGGAGCTCCGTTATATCTTAATATACCAGTTACTTTATAATTTAATGATGAATTTACATTAATGGTTTCTGGTGTAACATGTATGCATTGTTTGACGATTGTAGCTCGAATCCAGAAATTATTTACTTCTTTATCGGCATTAACTATTACAGAATAGCGTTGACCAACAGCTATATTTATCTTGTTCATAGTTATGGGCTTGACATTTTCACCCTCTACTTCAATGATTCTTAGTGGATGTTGATCAATCGAGAAAGTAAAAGGTGCTTCCGCGCTAATTATTTTTAAAGAAATATTTTAAATCACTTTTTAATATGATAAACTATGAGATAAAATTTTAATTGAATACGTTAGAATTTACCTTGTGTTGATGACACGGAAACGATAGCGTTTTCCTTTTTCAATAACATAAACAGCCAATGGGTTATCTGGTACACATTTGGAACCTTGAGGTGCTTTAGAACAATCGTATCTTCCACGACCACTAATAAGCCCTGAGTCAGGGATAGGCTATTACATATATAAAGAGCATTTCAATAAAATATAAGAGCAATTTTTTTTTCTTTAGGAAAAAATAAATTAATTTACATTGTATCCATCATAACCTTTCGCCATTCTCTTTTTTACCAATGACTCCGATTCTTCATGGTGCCAATCCGATAAAGTCATTACGAACTCTTCATCGTAGTCATTTAAGTAAGGGTCTTTCGGATCATGAATACTATTAAAATGTTTAAAATGTTTAACTATACAATTACGTGCGTATACACAATTACACATACACAATGACGTATATACTATAACATACATTAATGCACCTCTAAGCCCGTCCACATATTGGGATCTGAAATGGGAGTGCCTATAATAGAAACTCGTAAAGAAAAACCATAATACGACTAAAAGAAAAAAATATTGTAAAATTATATGCTTACCACCAATAAGTCCCATATTGTTCACCTCCTGTGAAATTATAAGTGAACGTTGTACCAGTTGCAATAAGACATTGTGTCTTATGTCATGTATCAATTATTTATTATTAACGAACAAAATGATTATATTTGACAAAATTCTTTTATGGAGTTATAACTAAAACTCGAGCTCACCTGTCCAGCAACACCATCGTAAAATGTAGTGCCTCTTTGAAATATACCATGCCAATGAATCGTAGTAAAATCACCCAAATTATTTTGTATATGAATAACTATTTGATCTCCTTTATTAGCACGTATCATTGGTCCGGGATATTGACCATTTGAAGTCCAAACTTGTCTCGAGAACCCATCTGGAGCTAATTCTGTTTTAGCTAATGTTAGAGTATATTCTCTTGTTATAGGTGATGCAGTGATATCTAGTGGTTTGAAGGATTTGAAAATATTAGTATTAAAGTCTGGATCTTGTTCAGTTTCTTGACGCTTTTCAAGTGTGGGTACCGCGGATGTTGCAGGTGCTGCATTTATTATTGTTGAGTATAATGAGAGTAATACTATTACGTAAAAAATCGAAGTTATTCTCATTTTGTTATAAAAAAAAAAATATATATATTTTTTTGTAACAATTTTGAAAATTGAGATGCAAAAAAAGAACAATTTGCAATGCTATTTATAATAATTCCTTTTTATTCAGATTGAATTTTTTTTTACTATATCAGATATATATATTGTGAAGTTTTAGTAGCAAAAAAATTTTTTTTTTTTTTTACAAAAACAGCGCAATTTCTATTATTTATATTGAATTAATTGTCAAATTTGAAAGCAATTTAAGCTGAATCCGATCTGAACTGATCTGTTAGAAGCACTAGCTACTTATAAACGCATGTATTCCCTATTAATTGGTATAAGCATATGGGCGCATTTTTGGAATAGGCTTATTAGTCTGTTGTAGATCAAATTGACATTTTTTTTAAAATTAGTATATGGTCTAAATTATCAGTTTATATTAATAATATCTTAAAACTGTATAATTGATACTTTTCTTATATAATTAATCATGCTAATTTGAGACATATGTTGATTTGGTTATAATAAATCTAACCAATTGATTCAGGTAAGATGTGTGTCAATAATATATTAAATTATTAAGTCTAACCAATTGTCCTATATAGAAGGGTTCCAAAAATGCGCCCATATGGTTATAAAAAAAATTCACAAAGCCATAACTTTTTAAAACAAAAATCTTATTTTCCGCAAAGCCTTATGATTTAAGCCACTCGGGGTCAAAAAAGAATAAGACTAATTTAAATATTTATTTTATTTGGTATATTTTTCAATAATTTCATATTTTGATTGTTTTTACCTAATCTTCTTTTACAAAATTCACTATCAAAGGATCACAAGAAAAAGTGGTTTTCGTAGTATGAGTAATTCAAATCGTATATCAAATTGATAATGTAATCTTATTAGTAAACACTTTTTTCATGAGTAATGTGTTTTTTTGTTAAAAAACAATTGATGGCAAATCTGAATCAGATATGATGACTTAGCTGAGTAATATAAATCTATAAAATTAAAAATTGCTCAAGAGGCATTAAAATCGAATATTTGATATCACGTGATACCGGACCCTATAAAAAATTTTATCCTAAAAACTCCGTAAAAATGAGCCTTTCACGGATCCATTCACGGAAAATGTAAATGACTCGATAAATTCCGTGATATAAGGTTATTAATTCCGGAAATACGAGCCTTTTACGGAAAAAAGACGGAATATAAAAAACGGATCGACTTTTTTTACAGGGGGATAAAAGGGAGCTATATTATCATTAGTCTTCATTTTTAGACTAGTTAAAACTTTTACTGAGTTAAAATGAGATAAAAATTTTTTTTAGGAATAATCATATTTTCAATTGAAATTTTCTTTTATTCTTTTTTTCAAAATGAGAATTATCTATCACAATTAGTAACTGTGTTGTTAGATAAAAAAAAAAGAACCGAATTTTTGATGAAAACCAACAGCTTTGATTTACGAAAAAGAGAAAAAAAATTCAGATTATAAATGGAAAGTGATTTCCATTTTCATTTTGAAAATGGTTTTGAATTTTTCAAAAAAAGACCATTACGAAAAGAGAAAAATTTTAGATCAAAAATGGAAAATGACTTCCATTTCTGATGAAAAAAAATTAAAAACGTTAGCTTCATCCATAATAACTAACATTATATAAATTATTTGCGAGTTTTTTCTTCCAAATTGGTTATCTATAAAACTGAATGCTAAAATACGTCCAATTTTTCTGTTCATAGGTATGACTGTCAAAAATTTAGTGCATTTTCAGGATATGATCGTTCAATTCGGTACAAAAATTTTCTCGGATAATTTGTTTTAATATATGATAATTATTTATGACAGGTAACACATAATCTTAATGTAGGGTTTGTCAATTGTCATGATATTATTTATTTCATGGGCTGGAAATAAATTAAATTTAACATTTCCGGCTATCTATATGATATGAAAGCTATCATGAGTGACACTTAGGATTACATAAATAATATAAAATACCTTTAGTTTTTAGGTTCTCTTCTATTTTCTTTAGGTCGTCTTTTGTTTTTGATTAAATAATCTTGAGTATGGTTGAATTTTTCTTCGATAAGCAACTCATCAAATGAAACTAATAAACCAAGAATATCTTCACTTGATAAGTCGTCTCTTTCCTTTAGGTCTTCTTTTTTGTTTCTCGATTAAATAATCTTGAAATGGTTGAGTAATTCTTCAATAAATAACTCAAATAACTCACCTTCTCTCTGTCTTCTCTTCTCTTCTCTTTTTCTTTGGGTCTTTTTGTTTTCGACTAAACAATTTTGAACATGATTGAATAATTCTTCGATAAGTAACTCACTCATTAGATAAAACTAATAAACCGAAAATATCTTCGCCTGATAGGTCTTCTCTTCGGTTTGTGGGTTGTATTTGAGTGGGTGGTGTATGTATTTTTGTGTATTCCCTCGCTCTTCTCTCGCTTTCTCTCTTTCCCTTTCTTTTTCCCTTTCCTTTCCCTTTTTCCTTTCTTGCTTTTTCTTCTCTTTCCCCTATTCCCTCTCCTATGGAATTTTTTTGGAATGAGAACTAGAAAAATGATCATTTATTAGAATTTTCTCAGAAAATTTCTTATAGGGCTCACTCTTTCCCTTCCCCCTTTCGGTTCTCCCTTTCCCTTATTCTTCTCCCTTTTCCCTTTCTCGCTTTTCCTTCCTTTTCCCTCACTCTTTTCCCTTTCCCTTTCACTTTCTCCTTCCTAATCAATGTTGCCGCACCTCAACGTTCATGAAGATGCTTAGCTAAGTCAGCAACAAATAGCAACGTTGTTCACTTTATATATAACTGTAAATTAAAAGTAAAATTGTTATTTAATTTCACATCTAACATATATATATATATATACTATCCCTTAAACTGTTTTGCAGCCAAATTTGCCTGCAATTTTATTTTTTAATTAAAGCCACTTTTAAATACCTTAAAATATTTTGTTACATAAACCAATATTTTTATAATAAATTCTATAGTATTTTCTAAGTAAAAATCGAAAAAAAAGTTCAATTTGATTGATGATTTTTTAAAAGTAAATGATCGACAAATTATAACAAATAGTATCTTTTTATCCATTAATCTTAGAAATATAAAATTACCACCATTTAATGCATCTTAATGAGAAGAATCTGATAGAAATAAAATTGTCCTTCAACAAATATTATGTGACAGGATAACTTATAAAATCTAAAAATTTATGAATTAATATAACTTTTTATTTATCAACTTTAGAGTTATAATTTTATTACCATTAAATGCGCCTTAATAAGAGGAATCTAACAAATATAATTTCATCTTTCTATGATCACTAGATCTTAAGATATTGTAAAAATTCAAAAATTTTTAAAATTAATTTTAGCCCCTACAGTTTAAGAGATATATAATTATATATACTTTTACTAGTAAGAAATTGAATGAAATTCTAAAAAATGATTGTATAGTTAGTGACATTAGGTAATGTAATCATCATACAATAAAAGTAATTTTGCAAATTAAATTAATTATTTGTGATTTTTTAAAAATTTATTTTTTTTACAAATGATATTAGGTAATATGATTAGAATTATTTAAACATTAAGGCTAAAGTAGTAAATATAATTATCAAATTTGACTTTATTTACAATATTATTAAAAATTACAATATAATATAATATTATTTGATACAACCTAATCAAATTTGGGCCATCTTTGTGTCTCTAACTACTTTCTATGACCAATTAAGATATATCTAGCATCATTAAATTGATCAAATCATTTTAATATGAATATATCCAATTTTTAATATAAAATCGGGTTTTGATTCATTCATTATTATTTCACATATTTTTTATTTCATGTATTTTCATAATGTACAGTCATAACTAGATATTCGGGATATACCAATTTTGGCACATAACAAATCAAAACCAACTTTATCACTACATACCTACTTTATTATAATTTTCGCTAACGAAGTTTGATCATAAACCAGTCATATTTATTCATTCGATAAATTATACCACCCTAATTCCAGCCGGAATTAACTGAACTTAGTCTTTGGCTCTTTTCCGGCGTAATTATTATGTCGAAATGAATTATACCACAATAATGTCGAATTGCCGTAATGCCAACCAAATTTAGCAATTTTAAAAAAATTGATTTAAACATTTAATAATATTATATTTTATAACATTATTTATTATTAATGAGCAATTTATTATTATCGCTGTTTTGAAACTACATCTTGTCAAATGTCAAATTATATCAAGTTCTTATTGTAAAATTTTATCATCTTTCATCTATTTAAGCAATTTAGTTTTCGTTATTATATATATATAAGCAGTTTTTGTACATTATTAGTATCTTAAATAAAGACATCGTTATCGAACTGTTTACGAACTTATTACAAAAAACATATTGGTAGAAATTATTTTTTCAGAATTCTTTGTTCGTTAACAAAACGGACGAATAGGCATCAAGAAAAAAAATGCACTTCACATCATAAGAACCAAAGGCCTCAACATTATACCTCCAGAAATAGTTACGGTTTTGAATTATGAATTTTGAATTGAGATTTTTTGATAATTTAATAAATCATTTGTTGTAAACCTATTATATGATTAAATTTTGATAAATCATATTTTGTACATACTGTACATTATAATGTTTATTTATCTCTGAGAAAAAATTTTTTCATCTTAAAACTCTTGCAGTGTTATAAAAAAGGGCAAGGAAAATTTTTTAGAATATTTCTCACGATTTTATAAAATTTGTTGTTATGTAATTATGTTGAAATAACCTTTTTTTTTTTAATAATATACAAAATTCGTATTTCAGTTATATCTCTACAAATCTATAAAGCTGTTGGGAAAAATAAAATATATACTAATAAATCATTTCAAAATAAAAAATAAATAATAACAAAAAAAGAAATGATATACCTTCCAAGTTGATTCCATGACAGTAGTAAGGGTAAGAACTCAGAAGTGAGCGGTATGCACCACACCAGCCATAAACCCGCAAATCAACCAACAGGTACGACACCAGACCAATCCGAAGTCTAAGACTAGTCCAAGCCTACCAGCAGTTCAACACTTCGCACCGTAGCGATTGTAGTAAAATAAAATAACCTGAGTAGGAAAAACTAATCTACGAATGAACATTTGCGAAGTACTAAAAACTTAACTACAGCAACTTCTGCAGCTTTGCTAAAATTTCCGTGGTTGCGATCGCGGGTTATCATTTCTTCGTGACAACCATCCCGGAGATCGCGCAGAATCCTAACGCGTCTCTTTTTACTGGAGACGACACCAAAGACAACTCGGACCAAACCTAGCCTGGGTTTCTATAGCTGCACTCATATCTTCTCATTTTCAAATTATCCAATCAGTTTGCCGTTTACCTTTCGCAGTCTATATAATTTTTATTCTTGCTGTAGTTAGTAGCGACTTAGCGTCAGTCTACAAAGTAGCGAGAAACGTACATGTAGATTCCGTAATGAAAAATAATAATATAATTAGCAAGGAACTTTGTAATTAATAATTATGTGAATATTTAATAACTTAATTTTAGAAACATTATTGGAAACGATCCGCTAGCAGAGAATCCGCAAGGAAGCGTCGAAGCGACCTTATCAACCTTATCATATAAATAATTATTATCGAGGTTACATTTAAGAATGCTTAGCCACATACAAAATTTTGACCGATAAACCAGAATAATTTTATTTATCTTATGTGATATTTAGATAATTTAAGTGATTATTTATACCTAAAAATATTTATATTATTTCCATTAAATAAATTTTTTTTATGATAATTTTGATAATTTTAATAATTCGTTTCTTATTATGTAATTTCCTTTATGTGCATTATTAGATAGATCATTATTTATTGAAAACGACTAGTAACTCTTGCAATAAAACTCATCCTATTGATTTTATGAATTTTAATTTAAAAGGAAAGAATTTTTATTCCGTCATATGAAAGGACAAACCCTTTCTTTTTTGATCGAGTTTTCATTAAAAAAAACATTTATCGAAACAAATGTTAAAAAATATATGTATATATATATTAAAATCGAAAGAAAAAAATTCATCGATTCGACTCTATAAAAAAAAATAGCGCGTATCGTATGTGTCTAATAAGAAAAATAAATAATGATAAACTCTTTCCCCTTGTTTGTTTTCCCTCCTTATTTTACAAAAAAAAAAAATCATCTCTTCTATATACAAACGAAAGTTTTTACAAAAATAAATAAATAATATAATAAATAATAAATAAAACAAAAATTTAAA